ATCCCAGCTCCCCAGTAGTCAAGAAGGCAGAGAACAGGAGGATTATAGATTGAGGACAGCCCAGGCAAAAAGTTAAGACTCCCATCTTAACCAATAAAGTCCAATGTGGTGGCCTATGTTTGTAACCCCAGCTATGCAAGATTAGCCCAGGAATGAGAAACACAGTCCAGACTGCCAGAAGGAAAAAAATGAGTCTCTATCCAGAAAGTAAGTAAAAGAAAAATGGGCTGGGGGCATAAGGTGGTAGAGAGATTGCCTGCCTAGAAAGAGGTCTTGAGTTCAAACCCTCCTACCAAAAGGGGGCCGGGGTAGGGGATGTTAATCGTGGCTGAATCTCACTGTTACTTTGGACTTTTCATATTTCCCCAAACTCCTATAATAAACACAAACTAAACAGTGGGCAATGCTGAGTGGCATCTTTGTCACTGGCTATATTAGGTAAAAGGACCTTTATTAGATACTGATTACATTGGCCGACTTCAGAGTAGCAGCTAAAGTAGCAGCGAAGGAGGGTTAACATTGTAACATTCTCAAAAGCAACATCCGAGGGCATAGCCTTTCTTGTCTCAATGTTTTGAGGTAGTTTCTCCTGCAGTTAGGAAAACCCTGGTAGGGAGTCTGATCAAACTTGATCCAGAGTACAGAACATTATATCAGTCATGAGAGAGGGAGTAAGGAAGGGCCTGATAGGAATGGAAAAGAACTAGGGGACCGTTTGGGCCCTTCAGCTAGAGAAATCAGGAAGCAAGACAAGAAGCAGATAGCCGGTGCTGGTGGCTCAATGCCTGTAATTCTAGCTATTTAGGAGGCTGAGATCTTGAGGATCCCAGTTCAAAGCCATCTGGAGCGGGAAAGTCCGCGAGACTACCTCCACCAGAAAACCGGAAGTAGCGCTGTGGTTCAGAGTGATAGAGCGCTAGCACCCAGGTCCTGAGTTCAAGCCCCAGGACCGACAAGGGAAACCAACCAACCAACAACAACAACAACAAAGACAATGGCCTTCGATAGGGGAGTTTGCTAAGGTAGCTAGGCCAACAGACCCCCCCCCCTCCATAAACTTTTAGAAATAAGCCGATTACTCTGATCCTCTTCATACACAGATATACACGTTGCTTTCTAGACGGAGAGTCATACATAGAAGGCGCTAAAAATCAGTCAGGTGGGATGGAAATGGAGAAGGTCAGAAGGGAAGACTCAGAACGGGGAGGCCCCCAGAGCCTCTGATAGGACGAGGCGATGGAAGGGTCGTCCACGGGCTGGGGTGACCAGGGGTCGGGGGTGGTGGGGACGGGCACTACCGGTCCCGATCCTAGGGGCCGGGGCCGATGGAGGCCTCGCCGGGGTCCAGAGAGAAGCCGTGTCACCGGGCCACTGTCACCGGCGGGGCCGCGCGTCCCGACCCCCGCTCCCCTACCCTCTAGAGTGACGGTGTCCAGCTCTCGCTGGGAGTGCTCCGCCGTCGCCGGCTTGCCGTCCGCGTCCCCGGTGGAGCCGCCCCCGGCTGCCGCCTCCTCTTTCATCTCCACATCCTGAGGGGCTGAAGGGGGTGGCGGCTCTTGTTCCCCTCCGCCCGGAGGCGGCTTCGCCTTGTCGGCGCCTCGGCGTCGCGCCGAGCCCTCCTGCTTCATGGCGCCTGGGGTCGCGGCCTAGTCTGGGGACCCAGACCGGGGCCTCGCGTGAACCCTCGCACTAGGGACCAGGAACCAAGACAGGCCTGCACAGTAGCGCGGGCTCGCGGCGGGCCGCACGATGACGGAGCAGCTGCAAACCCCTTCCCGGCGCAGGGTCTTCTGGGAAATGCCAGGCCTGGAGGGCCGATGGCCGAATTAGCAAAGGGGAGAGAAATCAACTGCCGAGGTGCAGGATGGGGGCGGATCTTCAGGAAGGAGCGGGAGGGGAGGAGTCCGCGTAAGTTGGTGGGGCTTTCTTTGAAGGGTTTAATTGTGTTGACTTAAAAAAAGAAAATCTTCCTCTGGAGTGCATTTCTGGGGATGTCCACAAGAGGTCCCCTCAGGATCCAACGTTGGCTATTAAAGACTTTCTAAGAGCGCCGGTGAAGTGGACCTATCAGAGAGCGAGAAGATAGATCGTCACGGGTTGCCAGGCGGATTTTGAGCCCTGATTGGTCCAGTTGGACTCTGGCTGAGTCTCCTTCGACAACAATCAATTTCGCTCAGCTCAACTGCCACCGGGAGCCTCCAGCGCGAGAGAAGATAGAAGATGCGACGTAGAGGAGCTAACTGTTGGGCTTAAGATAAACGGAATTCGAGAGTAGGGAGAACCCTATGGGATCCAGATTTCCTGGTCAGGTTTTGTTTTAGTGCTGAAAAGGGTGTAAAAGCTCTGCAGCCTGGGACTGTAGAGGTGCGCCTGGAATCCTAGCTACTCAGGAGGCCGAGATCTGAGGATTGCGGATTGAAGCCAGCCAGGTCAGGAAAGTCCGTAAGACCCTTAGATCCAATTAAACACCAAAAAATGCGGAAGTGGCGCTGTGGCACAAGGGGTAGAGCACTACCTTTGAGTTCAGGGATAGTCCTGTTACTGGCGATGATGATGACGATGAAGAGGAGGAGGAGAAGGATGATGATGATGATGATGAAAGATCCACTCTGTGACCAGACTAGGGCTAGCCCATGGTGGGCTGTTGAACAACGCAGCTTAAAATGTAATGTATGGGGGCTGGGAAGGTGGCTGCGTGGTACAGTGCTTGCCTCACATGCATGAGGCCCTGGGTTTGATTCCTCAGCACCATATAAATAGAAAAAGCTGGAAGTGGCACTGTGGCTCAAGTGATAGAGTGCTAGCCTTGAGCTGAAGAGCTGAGGGACAGTGCCCAGGCCCAGAGTTCAAGCCTCAAGACCGACACACACACACACACAAAGTAATGTATGGCTGTGTCTATAGAGAAGAGAGCATTCTGCTCAGAGCTGCTGTGTATTGTGCTGGCAAAGAGGGGCTTTATATATCCAGACAGACACTTGTAAAATGGGGAACAGAATAATGCTGTGCCAAATGGTGTAAGTATACACAGACATACACAGAGGATGGTCTATGTGTACCTTGTATTCTTGTTTTCATACTGTTTTTGCAAGCAATTACTTGCCTTAAACAGCCACTTGCCAAATGGGGAAAAGAAAAGTGGGTTCCAGTTTTAGGGAACATGCCTAGACTTAGTCCTCCCTAATTGTACTCTCACCCCTTCACCCCCACAGCTGGAGGTTGGATAACAGAACTTTTGAATCATTAATGGAATAAACTATGAAAACGTTTCTTTATAAACACTGTATCTGTAACTGAGGTGGATGAGTAATGGAAAGGCAGAAGTCAGACCAGTTTTGTTGTTCATCTTTATAATAAGAAAATATAACACTTCTGCATAGTTAGGCGGTTAGCTCATCTCTCTACTAAGAAAAACAATCAAGTCAGCAGATAACAACCCTGTATGTTTATGAGCAATATAGTAAGCCTTGGAAGTAGCCCAGAATATGGGGGAGGATGGTTTAACACAAAGCTTTTGGCAGTTTGGTCATGAATTCTTGGTAAATGAGAAAACTAGCTTGGGGGTGGGTGGAGGGCATAAGAAGGGGGAGAACTTGACTCCTAGCGCCTGAAGCTTTGGAGAAATTATTCTACCCTTAAAAGTACTTTAAAAGGAGAATAGTAAAAGATGTTCAAATCCAACTAAACAGGAACAGTTTGATGAAATCACAATAGACATATTAGCAGGTGCATAGGCAAATTCTGTACACACCATTCTCTCCCAAACCACCCTCAAGTGAAGGTAGAAGATAAAAGAAGAGAAAAGGTAAAAAAAAATTACTATCTTTAGAATTTTGAATGAGTCTTGTTTTTGCATTTTCAATTGGACAAACTTTTTTTGTGTGTGCCAGTCCTGGTACTTAAACTCAGGGCTTGTGTGCTATCACTGAGCTTTTTTACTCAAGGCTAGTATTCTACCACCTGAGCCACAGTTCCACTTCCTTTTTGGTGGCTATTTGGAGATCAGAGTCTCGCTTATTTTCCTGCCTGAGGCTGGCCTTGAACCTCAATCCTCAGATCTCAGACTCAGAGTAGGATTACAAGTGTGAACCATGGAAACCTGTCTTTCAATTTGACAAATTTGAGCTTTGTTATCTTTGTTTTAGACTTCTATATCTCTAGATCTGCCCCACCTCCTGTCCCCAATCCTAAGCCCACAAATGCTCTTTGCTCTACTTTTTTCCCTCAGTATTAGTATTTGAATTTATGTTAGGCAGGCCACCATCTGGGTCACACCTCTAGCCCCAAATGCTGTGCCTTGTAGATAAACTGCTTTGATGTTTTTCTCACTTTAGAATCTGGATTCTGTACCCTCATAGTGCTCTAAGCATTTTCCAGCTTCCCTGAGACAGTGCACAGGTAGTAGAATGTATACTGTCTCAAAATAATAATTTCCTTATGCTAAATTCCTTTTTATGTGTTGGTATTGGCTTGAACTCAGGACCTCCAACTATGTTATTCTTTTTCAATACCAGCTGGAACTCTTAACATTTTTTTTTTGGGTCCGGTCGTGGGGCCTGAACTCTGGGCCTGGGTGCTGTCCCTCAGCTCTTCAGCTCAAGGCTAGCGCTCTACCACTTGAGCCACAGCGCTCTACCACTTGAGCCACAGCACCACTTCCGGCTTTTCTCTTTTTGCTTATGTGGTGCTGAGGAATTGAACCCAGGGCCTCAGGCATGCAAGGCAAGCGCTCTACCACTGAGCCACCTTCCCAGCCCCGAACTCTTAACATTTTATTTCCTTCTCCATGTCCAGTTTTTTGCTAATGGATGATAAGAGTCTTGAAGATTTTTTTTATCTGCCCAGGCTGGCACTAAACTGTGGTCCTCAGATCTCAGCCTCCTATGTATCTAGGATTAGGGGTGTGAGCTACTGGCAGCTATAGCCTTATGATAAATTCTTGAAAGAAACACACCAAAGACATTCAATACTGAGATGTCAATCTATTAGTTCCCCTTAATTGCAGCAAAATTTATTTTTTTGGAAGTACAAAGAATTAGGATAGGAATTATTTTTTGTTGTTGAAATGGCTCAAAGTTTTTAAGGTTTGAGTGTTTCTACGTCTACAGGATTTAGGCATCAGCAGATGGGTTTATGGAGTGGGTTGTGGTGGTAGAAGACTCATGGAGGGAGACAGGTTGTGGGGTAGGTGGGTTTGGTTTTCATGGGTGACAGGGTAGGATTTCAGCCCTAACCTGGTGGCTCTGAAATATGGTGTTAAGAACATGGTACACTGAGACTGAGAAGGTCTAGAAAGCAGGAAGTAGGCAGAAAAGGCATCTTAGGAGGCCTTAGTCAGCAGCTGAAAGAGGGAGAGGCCAGCATAAAGGGCGCAGAGGCGAGGGAGGGTATCTGGGTCCCACATGTACTGGGGACCTGATCTCTGAACTTCCAGGCCACTCAGCCCCACTAGAGCTTCCGTGAGGGTCAGTTCCTCATCCCCAAGGGAGGACAACAGGTCAGGTCTCAGGGGGAAAACTCCTTCTTTATCTTGGAGGAAATTCTGTTCCATTGTGCTCTCCACCTGTAAGGAACCAACCACAGCATAAAATTTAAAAAGATCTGGTAAGCTTTCTCCTTCCCTCCTAGTCATACAAATCACCACGAAGGGCTGCATTTCCCGTATAGCTCTTTTTCTTACATTACACTCCATTTGGGTCTTATAGTGGGCACTGCATTTTTTTGGAGCCCCAGTTTACAGAAGAATAAACAGATTCAGAGACATTAAATATTTGCTCATATCACTTGATTAGCAATAAGTAGACCCAGATTTTTTTCCTCACAAGAAAAGGCTGATAGATTCATATCATGAGTAGAAATTTATCCATCTGCCTTTTTTTAAAATTGAGGGTGGGGAGTGGGTGGTACTGGGACTTAAACTCAGGGCTTCAAATTTTTCCTTAGCGTTTTTTTTTTTTTGTGCTGAAGGTTGATGTACTATTACTTAAGTCACCTCTCCACTTCTGTTTTTTTTTTTGCTGGTTAATTGGAGATAAGCCCAGGCTGAGGGTCAAATTTTGATCCTGAGATCTCAGCCTCCTAGTAATCTAGGAATGAGCCATCAGAGCCTAATGTCTCCTTCTGCCTTTTGTAACAAGATAATAAAAGGAAAGAAATAGAGAATAGAGAATTGGGCATGAACTGCCTAGGATCCCTTCAGGATGCTTCTGCCATCAGGCTAAATCTGCATCTTCCCATTGGTTCCAACCACTTCCTCCCAAACTTGTCATCTCTCCCCCCCCCCACCTCACCAGCTTCAGCTGCACTGGTAGGATCTTTTTCTCTGTGGATTTTATTAGAAGCTTCTGTTGGGCTTCACTTAGCTCTGGGGGAAAAAAAAGCAGAGAAAGATACATTTGTTGCTGGTGCAGAAAGGACTACAAATTCCAAATAGTTCATTTCTGAAATTCCAGCCAGAATTTATTGATGTATGCATCTATTCATTCATTCATTTGTTCATGATTAAATGCCTGTTCTATGCCAGTCATTTTTGCTGAGTGTTAATAAAAATGATAGTTACTTTACTCAGAAAACGTGCAGTGTGGGGGAGGAACAGGGTCTTAAGAGAGACACAGCTTAAGGGGTCTATTTATTTATTTATTTAGGTCAGTCGTGGGGCTTGAACTCTGGGCCTGTGCACTGTCCCTGAGCTCTTTAGCTCAAGGCAAGCACTCTACAGTGCCACTTCCGGTTTTCTGGTGGTTAATTGGAGATAAGAGTCTCATGGCCTTTCCTGCCCAGGCTGGCTTTCAACTACGATCCTCAGATCTCAGCATCCTGAGTAGCTAGGATTACAGGTGTGAGCCATCGGTGCCTGGCTATTTATTTATTTTTCCAAGTTTTTAGTTTTTGCCTTTGGGGGCATGCTTCCTAAGGGAACAAACATTATAACTGCAATATCAGAATTTTTCTAAGAGGAATATTTCATGCAGAGGGAAAGAGAGAGTACAGGGGCTAGATCAGAAGATATTCCCCTCTGAGATTCAAGCTAATAAGTGGGTATCTAGGAAAGTGATGACCTTGGCTTTCAGTATATGGTTGAAAAAACTTGAGTTCTTTCCCAACCTCTATTAGCAGACTGTCTCAGGGCATCCAAGGGGACCAAGGAAATCCTTAGAATTTTCCCCCCTTTTTGTTTATTTTTCTTTTCTTTTTAATTTGAAGTGGTTGTGTAACAGGGTTTCAATTCCAGGTCAGATTATGAGCACAATGCATCTTGATCAATGTCACCCCCTTCAATGTTCTCCCCCATCTTTCCCAAGGAACCCATTATTTAACAAAAATATCAAGTATAATTTACCTACCAATCACTCATTCATTCATTTGTGAGTTTACTTAAGCGATTCATTCCCACCACTGAAAAAGTGAAGCTCTCATTCCCCACTTACCTGTTAGGGCACCCACGAAATAGAGGATGGCACCTATAGCCTCCTTTGACAGTAGGACATCTTTTGGGAGCGCCTCCAGGGTCACTTCATGCCCCTTGTCTAGAGCCCCTTCAAGCTGTGAGGAAAGGTGGGAAATGAAGATACCATAGCAGAGGGCCTGAAATAGCACCTGGCACAGAGTCCCTCAACTATTTTATGTCTCTATTTCTCTTAGTTCTCCTCAGATTCTGAGGTTGTTTTTTGTTTCTGTTTTTTTCCCCCCCTAATCTTGGAGTTGAATTCAGGGCTTAGGCACAGTCCCTGAGCTTCTTTTGCTCCATGCTAGCACTCTTACCACTTGATCCACAATGGCCTTTTCTGTTTATGTGGTACTGAGGAATGGAACCCAGGGCTTCATGCATGCTAGGCAAGCACTCTACCACTAAGCCACCTTCCCAGCCTCTGGACTCTGAGATTTGAACTCTGGAACCATTACAGCTGCCTTGCAGCAGAAAGCGCATTGTGGTCCTCCCTCCTCCCTCTGTCTATTAGAGGGTGCATATCTGTTAAGGCGCAGTGGCGGCCTTAGCACCCTGGGGGAACTTGGTCAGCCGTGGTGATTGTATCTATCAATTTTCCTGGCCTCTGGCCACATGGTACTACAGTCAGATGCACCCACCAGCTGCAATATCCTGCCCCCCCCCAAAAAACCCCAAACCTTCATCTTCTGATTTTCCCACTGTAGCCTCACCGTAAGCTCAAGGTCCTGAAGCTCTTTTTTCTTCCCAAGGAGTTTACTGAGGGAGCTGAGCAAGGAGCTTTTCCCCACTTGACTCAGCTTGTCTACTTCTTGGGTCTCTCTCTGAACCTCTTCTTTGAGTGTCTTGAAGTCCTCATGTGCTTCCCCTAGGGAGGTAATAAATGAGGCATCCAGTCCTCTACCAGAGCCTCCCAGTTTAGCATGTTCTCCCCACAGGAACAAGGGCTTCTTCACTCAGTCACACTCTTCAGGGCTCCATGCTTGTTCCCCACATGGGCCTGGCCATGTTTCTTTCCCAGGGAACATGATTAGGAAGTTTTTTCCAACCCTGACATGAGGGTGGGATAAGGAGGTGGGCCTGGCCCTGTATTATCATCTCACCCCAAAGACCCCATCCTTCATCAGTACACAATTGCCTTCCCATTCTCAAAAAGACTTACCTAAAAATTGAAAGGGAAGGCCCATTTCCCCTTCTCACAAACTAATTGGCAATGAATGACCTTGATGAAGGCCAGGATGGGGCTGTTCCAGAGAGCAGTGGGTCTGTATTCTGGATGAAGTGAACTGTACCCAGCATTCTAGGGGGGCCTAGCATTCTAAAATATATCCAGTCTATGCTGGAAAGAGTGGCTTCCCTGCAGGTGCATCCAGTCTCAGGATCTTGACCTGAGCCCTTGTCCTCCCTTCCCTCCACCATAAGGCATTTTTCACCACCTTCACGCCAAAGTCTTGGGACAAAAATAAAATTCCTTACCAACATCAGATGCCTGGATAACTGAGGAAGAATGGGAGAAGGAAACCAAACACAAAAATGGGTTAGAATATAATTCTTCAGCATGACAACCATCCCCAAGGGTAAGGTACTAAAGGAAGAAGCAACATGTTCCATCTGTGTCCTGGGAAACCCCAACTCTTTTTTTTTTGGTCAGTAGTGGAGCTTGAACTCTGGGCCTGGGCACTCTCCCTCAGCTCTTCAGCTCAAGGCTAGCGCTATACCACTTGAGCCACAGCACCACTTCTGGTTTTCTGAGTGGTTTATTGGAGATAAGAGGGTCACTTTTCCTGCCCAGGCTGGCTTTGAACCTCAATCCTCAGATCTCAGCCTCCCGAGTAGCTAGGATTACAGGTGTGAGCCACCAGCGCCGGGCTCCCAATTCTTTTCAGGATATTCTTGCTCCATTCCTTAGGTGAAGGAATGAGTCAGAGGAAGAGTTAATGGGGCATGAAAAGGGGCACCAGGTTGAGTTGACATCCTTGTGAACTCAGCTGCTCCCACCCTGGTTGCTAGGTGGCTGAGTGGCAGACATGTACAACAAGCAACCAAAGCTTTTGGGGGTAAAGGTTTGAGGTGTCTAAATGTGGGGGCATCTTCTCCAAAGATCTCCCCTTCCACAGCTTTGTCCTAAGCTGCTGGGTTGCCTGCCACACTTCTGAGACAGCTGTTTGACCTGCTCTACCATCTTTCCTGTCAGTAGGGAAGAAAGAAGATGAGAATAAAAGAACATTGCAGTGGAATGAAAGGAACACTTACGTGTGAATTTCTCCTCTCCTGGTTTTTCTGAAGACAGAAACAATGTACATCTGTCAGTATAAATCTTACTTCTGCCTTTTTGTCTAAAGTTGCTGTCAAGGCAGCTTCGCCAGTGATCATGATAGAAATCACATGAGATCCTCTTAGCACGTTGACCCTGCAACTTGAGAACACACACGGCCTCCCAGTCTTTTCAGTTTCTGATTGCACCTCTGTCTCCTGGCTTTATATATTTCTCTGTCTTTCTTGGGCAGTATTGACAAAATCTCTACCTGGTCTCTGTCTTTTTGTTTCTTTTTATATATCTCTATCCACCTTTCCGAATGTTGAAGATGTCTATTTCTGGGGACCTAGGAAACAAAAGCAGGGACTCCTAGGAAGATTATTCTATCTGCTATTAGAATGGGAGGACTTTCAGCGGATAATGTTGGGGTAGGAGAGGAGGTGTGGGGAGCCGATGAGCAGTTCACTCACCTCCAGGAGGGAAAGTTTGCATGCTGTCATTGTAGATGTGCGGAATATCTGTAAGGTGCAATAGAGGGAGACCAGGAGGCCATGACCAGTTGCCCCACCCTTCTCCAATCTCAAGCCCTTGCTGAGTCTTGCTCAGGGTTAGGTCCTGCCCATTAGGCCATTTCAGCTGCACTGCCCTTCTTTTTCCAATCTCAAGGGCTTAGGTCTTGCCCCTCAAATGCCTTGTCTAATTCTTCACTTCCCCCTCTCCCTACTGCTGTAAATTGTAAATTTCTTCCCCCTCCCAACTGCCCCCTCCCCATCCTCCCCGCCCTCTCTGTCAGTCTTGGGGCTTGAACTCAGGGCCTGGGTGCTGTCCCTGGGCTTTTTCACTCAAGGTCAGTGCTCTACCACTTTGAACCACAGTAGCACTTCTGGGGTAATTGGAGATAAGACTTTGCTGCCCAGGCTGGCTTTCAACCTCGATGTTCGTATCTCAGCCTCCCGAGTAGCTAGGATTATAGGCGTGAACCTGTAATCTAGCATCCAGCAACTTCTCTTCTTTGATAGCAGTTTTCAACCTTGCCCTCTTGTGTTAGAATCAGAGGATGCATCCTCCTTTGGTTTCTTGAGATAGAGGCTTTGCTTGCTGATGTTTGTACCCCTGCCCCATGGCTTCCACAGTGTCCAGCCCTCTGAGAGACTCAGAACCCAAGGGCCCCTTCACTTTCTCTCCAGAACCAGCCCTTAGTGTTCTGTCTCAGGCATTGGCTGAAGTATTACTCTCCCACTTGTCCCCTGACACTGTCCCAAGAGGGGACCCTAATACCTCAGCCTGGTGGGGCTAACTCTTGCCTTGTGAAGAGAACACGCTTACCCCACTCATCTTTGCCGTTCACCATCAGTTGTCTCACTCGAAAGGCCAGGACACAGCCTTTGGGGATGGTCACAGCCTCTTTGTGGTTTACAGAGCCCTAAGATTACACAATGGGAGTTTGTGAGTCTGCAGATATGAGACCCTGGGGTGGAGGGCCAGGCTTGAGAGCTTGTGTGAAAAGAGCAAATGGGAAACCCAGCAGTAGTGGGCTCTGTCATCTGAGAAAGATGACTGGGAGAACCCAGTCTGGACTCCATGGGATGGGCTCCTTCACTTATCTTTAGTGATCATCCTCTGACAAGCTGGGTCTCTTCCTGGCTTGGACACCTGCAGGGAACTGGGCAGACCTGCTCTATCAGCTGCCTGTGCAATATCCTCTCCCACCTCTAAACTTCCATCCTCCTCCTCCTCCTTCCATCCAGGCTCTGGTTCCTTCTTCTTGGTCACTGTCCGTCCCACATGCTCACCTCATTCAGGAAAGCCTCCATGACTCATTCCTCCTCTGGGCTCTAAAATCCCAGATCACTCACTAGAAATTGGTACCAGAGTCTTACTATTTCCACGAAAACTCCCAAGCCTCTGGGCTGTAAGCTATGTGTCTCGTGCATGGGCCTGAGAACTTCTGTGAGCTCTGATCTTTAGCACCATGAGGGGAAAATGATGAGTGTACTTCTTCTCCCCACATAGTCTTTGTGACTTCTGGCACAGGGTTATGCCCACCTTGGGTGCCATTGGCTAGAGAAGGACTCAGTTGTGTATCTGGCCAGTTGGGTTGGGAGCAAAGAGAAGGGATAGGGTCTTCTTCATATGCTGAATGGGCACTAATGGCATAAAAAAATGAATGAGGCCTCTAGGAAGGGTGTGTGTGTGTGTGTGTGTGTGTGTGTGTGTGTTTGAACCAAACCTGTAGCCCCAGTGGGGCAAAGAACGGGAGGGAAAAGCAGCCCTCCGCCTTGCCGGCTCTCTCCAGAGTGACCTCTTGGACCGTCTCCACTACTTCCATGACCACATACAGGTTCTCTCCTCGATCCCGCATTTCCTTCAGGAACGGGTTATCTGCTGCCAGCTTCCTGAGGCAGGAGAAGCATAAGGGAACCGTAAGAGCTACTCGGCGCTGGGGCTAGCCCCCACCCCCTTTTATTCTGCTGTTTCCTAGCAGACATCATGGTGTCAGGGAACTCAAGTCAGACCAGGGCAGAAGTTCAGATCTCCTGGACTTCTCCTGAAGAGCAGTTTCTCTAAGTCTGACTTGCCTCGTCTATAAAGTGAGGGCAATGACACCTACCTCCAGGTGTGCTGAGACAAACTGGGTAACAGCCATTCACACCCAGGGCCTCATGGTTCCTTCCTTCCTTCTTCAGTACAGAGGTAGAGCCTCCTACCTTCCTTCCCTGTTCCCGTCTTCTGGGATCCTTCCTCCCCATCTCTATCCTCTCTCCTGCCATTGATGACAGCTTCTCACTTGCTCCTTCCATATACAAACATGTCTCCGCCCCTAAAAGTTTTACTTTCTTTGATCCTACTACTCCCTCTAATGGCCACCCTATTTCCTTCTTTCTCCTTTCTGCCAAGGGTCTCCAAAGATATGCCCCTGCCCAATATCTACCTCCTCACTTCCCATTCCAATTCTTATTTATTTATTTATTTTGGTTGGTCGTGGGGCTTGAACTCTGGGCCTGGGAACTGTCCCTCAGCTCTTCAGCTGAAGGTGAGCACTCTACCACTTGAGCCACAGCACCACTTCTGGTTTTCTGATGGTTAATTGGAGAGAAGAGTCTCATGGATTTTGCCACCTGGGCTGGCTTTGAATAGTGATCCTCAGGTCTCAGCCTCCTGGGTAGCTAGGATTACAGACATGAGCCAGGGGTGCCTGGCTCCACGCTGAATTTTTTATAATTTGGTTTTGTTTCTCACACATTAAAGGCAATATCATTGTCTTCCCTTAATTCTGCACGACACTGAACCAACCGTCCATAATGCAACGCAGTCTTCTTTTGCTTCTGGTCACCCTGGTTCACCCTGGTTCTACTTTTATCTTTCTGGCTCCTAAACGTTCCCCATTCTGTCTGCATCCCCTTTGCCATTTGTATTTGGTTCCCTAACCTTTTATGTTCTCATGCTTCTGCTCTCAAAGATCCACGTTTCCCCCCCAAGTTCCTATGGTTTAAAAGTCTTTACTTTGTTGGCCACCCCAACCCTCTCTAGAGTTCCCAGCTTCTGTTTGTAGCTACCTTGTTGAATTTGCTCAACTGATACCCAAGCAGAGTCACAAACTCAAAACATCCAAAAGGAACTCACACTCCATGGAGCTGCCTGTCACCTGCTTGTCACTCGTTTTTTTTCGCCTTGAATACCTTGTCCTGTTGCAACCTGGGTCAAACATTGGAATCATTGTTGCCAAAACCTACATCCTTACCCTGCCAAGTCTAATCCTTTCTATTTGCAACAGGCTTTGCATCCATTCCTCCCCTTCATTCCAGATGCTCTCCCCTAGCTCACGCCCTCCTGGCATACCTTTGGTGGATAGAATGGGACAGTGTTTTACCTGGTCTTCCTACTTTAATCCCTTGTTTTTTTTCTTCCATGGAACATACTTCCTATGTATGGCCGGATTGATCATGAGACACAGAGCGCTGCCAGAGTCGTCTTGGTGCTTCAGGTCAACCTCTGGAACCTGGTTCCTGCGTGCTCTGAGTCCACCTTCAAACTCCTGCTTGTTCCAGTTGCACCTCTTCCTTGACTCCCATACTGACTATTCTATTCACAGTCCCTCATTACTTTGAGATATCGCCTCTGTGTGCTTTTAGAATGCCCTTCTCCCATACCTGTATGCATAGCTTCTGCCCACCACACAAGGCAGAAGTGGGGTACCACTTCTGTGCATCCTTTCCTAATTCCCCTGCCAGAAGTGCCTCCCCTCTGCCATGAGACTCAGCTGAACCCTTGCCACGGTGCTTACCACTTCTTTTGTTGTTATTGTTGGTGAGGGAGCTTAAACTCTGGGCCTGGACACTGTCCCTGAGCAATTTTGCTCAAGGATAGCATGCTGTGCCGCTTTGAGCCACAGTGCCACTTCCAATTTTCTAGTGGTTAATTGCAAATAAAAGTCTCATGGACTTTCCTGATTGGGTTGGCTTTAAACCAGATTCTCAGACCTCAGCTTCCTGAGTATGAGCCACTAGTGCCTGACTACTTCCTCCTCCTCCTCCTCCCCAACCTCCTCCTCTTCCTCCTCCTCCTCCTCTTCCTTTCTTCCTCCTCTTCCTCCCTCCCTCCTCCCCCCCCTCTTCCCTGCCCTCCTTCGTTGTGGGGCCTGAACTCTAGGCTGGGCACTGTCCCGCAGTTCTTCAGCTCAAGGCTAACGCTCTACCACTTGAGCCACAGTGCCACTTCTGGCCTTTTCTGCTTACGTGGTGCTGAGGAATGGAACCCGGGGCCTCATGCATGCAAGGCAAGCACTCTACCACTGAGCTACCTTCCCAGCCTCGCTTTGCTACTTCTTGTTTTGGATTGTAGTTACTATTGCACAGTAGTTTTCACTCTCCTAGACTACAAAATTTTTAGAAAAAGTTGTTCTAGGTGTACCCTACCACACAGTAGGATGCTTTATATTCAAAAACAGCTCACTAGATATTTACTGGATGACTTCCCAAGCACCCTATCTTTCCTCCGGCCTCCCCAGTACTCATCTGTTTATTTAAACCCTTACTTTATTACTTAAAAGTCAGGTCCCTTCTTAAGACAAAAATATGTGGTGCCTAGCATCAATGTCACCTCTGCCACACCCCTTATGCCAGCATCCTCCAGGGCTGGTGTGGGGCTTGGGCTGGCGGGCAGGCTTTATTTGTGGAAGCAGAATGCTGTACCCAAGCTTCCATAGGAAGCAGTTACAACCAGTCCACTCCTCCACCTTCTAGCATACTTCATAGCCTTCAGGTTGAATGAGTATGCAGGGATGGGCATCATAGCTCAAATGGTAGAGTGCTTGCCTAGTATGCTCAAAGCCCTGGGTTCAATTCCCAAGTACCACAAAAAGAAATTATCCTGTGACACCAAATTCCACAGAAAAGAAAACTGTGGTTCTAAGAGAAATGAGTTTTCTCAGCAAAGAGATTTAATATCTCATCCTCACGTGTGGGATGAGCTAGGAGGACTGTGGGGAGGGGGTACTGGAAGTACCAGAAGGAGTAGCTAGCAAATAGCTTGGAGGTTCCATAGGCCAAAAGGGTCATCCTCAAGGGGTCCCCTGGGGTGACCGTATCGCCAAGGGGTTTGCCAGTAGTTTTCAAAGGCCTCCCCCATGGTGACAACTTCGCCAAGGGTTTTGCTTTCCCCACACAAGGCTCGGGGCAGCTGTTCTCTGCCCTGCCCAGCCCCAGCCCTGTCCACTCTTACCTCTCCTTGTGCAAGTCCTCCAGGGCCTTGGGTGCCACACTGAGTGTCTGGACTTCCAGCGTGCTGTTCCGGGACAGCCCTGCAGTGCCCTTTACCTTCACCGTCTTTGGCATGTCCACCTCTCCCTCTACCCGGGCATCGAGCATATTCTTAAAGCCAAAGTTCCCAGAGTCTGTTGGATCTGTAGGAGAGAGAAGATAAAAGAGCTAGGCTGGAAATGTGGCTTAGTGGTAGAGTGCTTGCCTAACATGCATGAAGCCCTGGGTTCCATTCCTCAGTACCACATAAACAGATAAAGCCTGAAGTGGCGCTGTGGCTAAAGTGGTAGAGCACAAGCCTTGAGCAAAAGAAGCTCAGGGTCAGTGCCCAAGCCCTGAGTTCAAACCTCAGGACTGGCAAAAACAAAAACAAAAACACAACAGAGAGGCACCACTAGTTCTCCCACTGCCTCAGTAACTAATGAGAACTTTCATTTGACTTTTTTTTTTTGGTCAGTCATGAGACTTGAACTCTGGGCCTGGGCACTGTCCCTCAGCTCTTCAGCTCAAGGCTAGCGCTCTACCACTTGAGCCACAGTGTCACTTCTGGTTTTCTGGTGGTTTATTGGAGATAAGAGTCTCACAGATTTTTGCTGCCCAGGCTGGCTTTGAACTGTGATCCTCAGATCTCAGCCTCCTGAGTAGTTAGAATTACAGGCATGAGCAACTGGTGCCCTGTTTTACTTTGTGGGGGGAAGGGAGGGCTTAAACTCACAACTTCAGGCTTGCTAGGCAAGTGCTCTGGTCACAAGAGCCACATCTATAGTCCTAATGAGAACTTTTAGGTGACATTTCATCATACAGGCTTAGAGGGACCTCTGAGTCTTCCCTGGGGGCCAAGTGTCTGGCTGGGACTCTATAAGATCCCTTGGAACCCAGCCCCATGCCTGAAGCTGACCTGAGGGTGAGCTGCCAGGCTCCAGAACATCTAGAAGGGTGTAGTCAGTGCGGACATATCGGGCACCCCAGAAGATCGTGCTCTTCCTCTTCCTTAGCACCAGGCAGAAAGGATGGAAGCGCTTGAAGTCAATGAGGCTGTCAAGCGGCGTCAGGTCCCCTCGAGGGTTTAGCTGTTTGGCCAGGGCCCGGGTAACGTTTTCAAAGATGGTCATTGTCTCTGTCAATGGAGAGATGGAGACTGTTAAGGACACCATGGCACCTGGGAAGACCTCTGCAGTGAGTGATTTTCTGGATTCTCAAATGTGAGAGCCTTAAAGAAGCCAAGGAGTCCGTGTGTGTGTGTGTGTGTGTGTGTGCGCGCACGCGCGCGTGCAGGCTAGTGTTCTGCCACTTGAGCCACAGCTCCATTTCCAATATTTTGGTGGAAATTGGAGATAAGAGTCTGAAGGACTTGCCTACTGGGGACAGCTTTGAACCATGATCTTCAGATCTCAGCCTCCTGAGTAGCTAGGATTATAGGCATGAACTACCAGCACTTATCAGGAGTCCTTTTCCCCCTAGGTCTGGGGCTTGAACTCTGGGCCTGAGCACTCTCCTTAATATCCTTGAGTTTTTGTGCTCAATGCTAGTGTACTACCACTTGAGCCACAACTCCACTTCCAGCTGTTTGGTGGCTAATTGGAGATAAATCTTACAGACTTTCCTGTCTAGCTGGCTTTGAACCCTGGTCCTCAGATGACAGGTGTGAGCAGGAGTCCTCATTTTATGACTAGGAAACTCCAGAGCTCACACAGCTAGCTAGTGCCCTTTCCTTGATGGAGGTACACTTGCCTGTATCTTATCTTTCCTTTACACCCACCTCCCAACTCATGGCTATGTGCATACCATTCTCATACGTGTCCCACAGATGCAAGCATGTTGATGCTCTTTACCTTTGTTCTTTCTGTTTACAATATCCCATTCCCAATAGCAAGAGTCACTTTGCATCCTTGGACACTCCTTCTCTCTTGGGCATCCAGTGAGTGACTCCTCCTGTGTTCCCTAAACAGTATATCCCCTTCTGGCACACCTGCCACTTTGCCCTGTTATGATCTGTGCACCTGACCCTCTCACCCGCCCACTGGGACAGAGACTTCCCGGAGGGCAGGAAATGGGTCTGAGTCACCTCTGCAGCATCAGCATCAGCACAGGGCCTGGGGCTGAGATGGAGCTTGGCGAATTGTGTGTGGCAAGAAGAAAAGATGACTGGCAAGTGGCACTGTGGCTCAAGTGGTAGAGCACTCGCCTTGAGCTGAAGAGCTGAGGGACAGCGCCCAGGCCCAGAGTTCAAGCCCCACGACCGACAAAAAAAGAAAAAGAAAAAAAGAAAAAAGAAAAGAAAGATGACTGGAGGAGGCCCTGGGAGATATAGGCTGGGGTTCAGAGGGTGTCAGAGATGGCAAAGCCTGTGAGAGCTTGGGAGTCACCATCTTATGTGTCTTGTCTTTGAAGTGCAATTCAAGGAGTTTTGGATTGGTGGCCAGGAGACACACCCACATGAACCCATAGGTGGAAGAAGATACACCAGCTTCTCTGAAAGTGCCTCACCTTTCCTGTGGTACCTCAGAGACACAGGGACTCAGGAGGCACAAGCACTGATTTGGGGGTGGGGAGGGTCATTCTGTCATTGCCAATGTATACCCAGGAGTGGGTAGGATGGCTTCCTGGGGTCAGCTGAGTGCACCCGGAAGGACTCTTCACCAGAGGGGCATTCACAGGCCACGCCCTCTTCCTTCCCGAAGGCCTAACTCTTTGGATTCTAGGAGACTCCCATGCCCTTCTGGTTCCAACCATCTCCAGAGCCCCAGAGTGCCACCTGCCCCCTCTGCTGTCATCAAGATCTTACCAGGAACGATGCTGGGTCCTGTGGGGTGGCTGGCTATGGAGTGAAGGCTCAGGACTTACTTGCTCTGTCAGTTGAGAGAATGACTGTCCCCTGTCAGGACAGACTGCTTTATGCCTCTGTGGAGGCAGGGATGTCGGCTTCCAGGGACCCCGCCTGCCCCACTGACCCCACCCCCTCCTGCTCTGCTTCCGGGAGAACAGCATCAACCTGTTCCAGGTGTGTCCTGCCTCAGGCCCTGGGCTCGGACCTCCTAGAGGATGAGGGGGTGGCAGACAGGTGCCAGTGTAGGTGGGGGCAGCCAGGACCCAGTAAGAAGAAGTGACATGAAGACTGGCTTGTGGAAACTTTTGGAGGGGGTGATACAGAGAGGCCATGGGAGTTGGAGGGGTATAGGTACCCATGTGTATTATATGCATATAGGTCTGTATGAGTGATACGGACGTGTCTGTGTCTGTTCCTTATCTTTTGGGCTCCTCCCTTTCTCTCCACCCCGTGCTCTTCCGGTAGCTCTCCAACACTTTGTTCTCTGCTGACTGCGCTAACCATTGCTTAGGTCTATCAGGAAGCATCTGGGATTCATGATAGGACTCATAGACACCATAAGGGATATGAAATCCTGTGTGTCCAGAGATTCTAGTAGAGAAAGGCTGTCCATCATTCTGTGTGTGGGCATGAAGATCCCTACCTGACTCCATTTGTTTTAGCTACATGTATATATCTTTGGTAAAGACACATATGTCTGAGTAGATAGAGCTAGTTTAAATACTTTGCTTTCTTTCCCCACCCCTACTCCCCTTGTGTCAATACTGGGGCTTTAACTCAGAACTTCACATTCTCAGCTTCTTTGCTCAAGGTTGATGCTGTGCTACTTGAGCCATGCATCCAGCCCAGTATTTTGCTGGTTAATTGGAGATGAAGATTCACAGACTTTTCTGCCTGGTCTCAACTTCCTGAGTCTCAAGGATTGAGCCAGGAGCTCAGATGGTTTTCTGTTGTTTAGTGCCCCATACTCTGCTGGTTATGGAGTGCTGAATATATACAAGCTCACACACAGAGGTGAGTCATAGCAGCGATAGTAGTAAAGATGCCTGTTGTGGAGACTCAGATGTCTCCAGGTAGGTCACTTAGATCCTGCTCTTCAGTCTCTACTTGCAAGGAATTGCTGTAGATGACAGATTAAGGGATTTACAAGACCACATATGTGTATACACAGAACCTGAACACACTGGAGCCTATATACCCTCACCTGGAAGGCTTAAAGGACATGGACAGTAGGTTTGATTTTTCCTGGAGGTTTTCTTGAGGGGTTGGTAGTCAATGGGGAGATTAGACTGTCTCATACTCGATGTAACTCCCTAAAATCTTTGTTGTTGCACTTTTTTTCTTTTTGGTGCTAGTCCTGAGGCTTGAACTCAGGGCCTGGGTGCTTCTTTTGCTCAAGGCTAGCCCTCTACCACTTTGAGCCACAGCTCCACTTGTGGCTTTTTCTTAGTAGTTTGTTGGAGCTGTCTCAAGAACTTTCCTGTCCGGGCTGGCCTCAAACTGCCATCCTCAGATCTCAGCCTCTTGAGTAGCTAGGATTACAGACATGAGCCATCAGCGCCTGGCTCATCATTCCCCGTCTGTCTTCAAAGCCTCATTTGCCATGACAGAGGCTCTCATGGAGCTCTTCTCTATGACCTAAAACAAAACAATACCTTGCTGTTGCCCCTCTAGTAGGCGTCCCTCGTCTTTTGGTTTGCTTCTTTTCCCATCCGACTCTATATTCTTATGTAGCTTCCAAACATTTTTCTTCTCCCTTAACAGGTCTAACCATTGTTTATGGTCTCAGATGCTGCCCCCTTACTTTTTATTTTTTAATTAAAATATATTTTAATTATTATAAATATGATGTACAGAGGGGTTACAGTTACATCAATCAGGTAATGAGTACATTTCTTTTATTTTTTTTTGGGTCCAATGGTGGGGCCTGAACTCTGGGCCTGGGCGCTGTCCCTCAGCTCGTCAGCTCAAGGCTAGCACTCTACCACTTGAGCCACAGCTCCACTTCCGGCTTTTTTCTTTTTATGTGGTGGTAAGGAATCGAACCCAGGGCCTCAAGCATGCAAGGCAAGCGCTCTACCACTGAGCCACCTTCCCAGCCAGAGTACATTTCTTTTCGAACCATGTCACCCCTTCCCTCATTCTCTCCCAGTCACAAATTGTATAGTTCATTTTTCCATGTAGTGTCTAGTGAGTACTACTGCTGTATTTGTTCACCCTTTGTCCCTCCATTTTTGTGCCCCCTGTTACCTTCTCAAAGACAAAAGCAGAAGACATCACTTCCCTTCATAGAATTCCTCTTTCCTTCCTTGGGAGAGGCAGGGATTGGCGCTTGGGTGCATGGGAAAGGTGTCATGGGACATTTGGTCCTTGTCACAAGTGTACATGTGTGTTACTTGCTTTCCATCTCTCTCGTTTTCCTGGATTTCTGCTTCTCTCCTCCTCTCTTTGAATTTCTGCATTGATAAGTCATCTGCAACCCAGCACATAGTTCTGGGGCTTTATGCCTCCCATCCCTTAATCAGCTTCAGTGGAAGGTGGCCCTTCTCCCCGCCCTCTCATCAATCCATTACAATTCAACAGACTCTTCCCTTTCTTCCTAGTGTCTACATTCCTCCCACTGGCTGAGGGCCAAGGTTTCTGGTTTATTTCATCTCTACAGATCTAGAAAGCAGCTGGGCGCTGGTGGCTCATGCCTGTAATCCTAACTACTCAGGAGGCTGAAATATGAGGATCATGGTAAAAAGCCAGCGTGGGCAGGAAAGGCCGTGAAATACTTAATCTCCAATAAACCACCAGAAAGCCAGAAGTGGCACTATGGCTCAAGTGGTAGAGTGCTTGCCTTGAGCTGAAGAGATCAGGGACAGCGTTCAGGCCCAGAGTTCAAGCCCTATGACTAACAACAACAAAACAAAAGATCTAGACAGCAGGTGTTTAGCAATGTCATGCTCTCTCTCCCCCCCTCCCCTCTCTCTTTGTTAGTCCTAGGGCTTGAACTCTGGGCCTGGGCACTGTCCCTGATCTCTTCAGCTCAAGGCAAGTGCTCTACTACTTGAGCCACAGTGCCACTTCTGGTTTTCTGGTGGTTAATTGGAGATAAAAGTCTCACGGACTTTCCTGCCCGGGCTGGCTTTGAACTGTGACCCTCAGATCTCAGCCTCCTGAGTAGCTAGGATTACAGGCGTGAGCCACCGCAGCCCGGCTTGCACCCCTCTTAACTGCCTAATGAGATTCTAAATGCTGGGCCTAGATAGCATTTATATCTCTCAAGGAGAGAGATGTAAGAG